CTAAAAGCGTTTTGAGGTTAGGCACTGTTCCAATAGCATATTACTTAAATTATTTCAAAAGATTAGTCATAACCACAACGTTAGCTGTGTTCAAAATCATTTCCTGTTGTTCTTTTCATTTTAAAAGGATGGTACCACCCCATTGCATTTAGCTGCGCGATATGGGTATCAGAAGTCTTGTCAGATCCTTGTGTGTTGTGGAAGCGATATCAATGTTCAGGATCGAGTAAGTTGAAGCCAAGCAATTAAATGATTTTTAAAATATATTTGAATACTCAGGTAAACATTAAATGAAGATAACCCGCTGTCCAAAGTCAAATGGCTTAATGACTTTTCAAGTTGCACAGTAATTTATATTTGTTAGTTGTTTATTTTGCGTAGTAGTTGTGGTGATGGTGGTGGTGGGGTGAAGGCGAGTGGTTGTACAGTTTAACTACTTTGAAGGCAGTTCATACAAACTGACAACACCTGTAGATGCAATAAGAAACAACAAGCACTTATAGGCTATCTCAGTTGATGCACTAGATTTTAAACAATAGGAATTCTGAATTTTCTGCCCGAAATGCGAGCAGCTGAGTGTGTGAGTGATTGGGTAAGCGAGTAGTAAGTTCTCACTGCGTTCGACCACCGGTGGGTGCTGAAGAGTCCCAAGCCGGGACGAAACAGATGTCTAGTACTCTCAGTTGGTCTTCCAATAGTTCTCTAATCGATGTCAGCTCATGATCAAATCATGAAACCAATCAAATCCCCACAATCCAACACTTGAATGGAAATCATATTTGTAGGACAAACTAAGTCGATAGCGAAACAGAAAAGAGGGTCTGAGCCAAGCTTTCCAAAAGTGAAATAATATTGATGGAACCAAGTTATTACTGGATATAAGTTGTGTGGGAGTCACTGAATACATATCAAATCATCATAACATGCTACAGAACGACTTTTTGAAATTCTAATACACCACTTCCTTCTGGGGTCCGTGCTAAAAATATTGGCTAGAGTAACAGCGAAAGTATCATGATTATACTATTCTGTTCAGGTAACGCATCACCACTGAAGTGAGTTGAACCTTGTTGCCACGATCCCGGAGGGGATTGGTTCGCACTGAATGAGAACTTTTGATATTGCCACTAACGCAATGATAGCCATCTCCTCAGTGAGCCTTTGATTGTCATCTGGGTGAGCGGAGGAGAATATTGACCTTCCAGTCAACAATTTTTAGAGTCTACTTCCAGTCTACCTGGCCTTACACTAACACTCACACACCATGTCTTATGATTTCCACATGCGACCTCGGCATTATTGTTATTAGCCTGAAGCATGGTGAGGATATTCCACGTCGACATGCTTACTTTCGCTTTCATCGAAAGAAGACTTGCCGGCGGACTGACTTCCCGAAGGCTTCCACAAACTTGCGTCATCCGTCGACGAATTGAGGAGTGGTTTCGATTCCAGTGGAGTATAAGTCTACATTTCGTGTGCTTTACAGTTTCAGTGGTGATGAGGGTGTGTTATTATGCTGTGAGGTTGCTAGCCCCATACTCAGCCTACCTCTTTTCTGGACCTAGGACCGACTAGTAAACAAGGTGAAGTTATGAAACAGCAGTCCAATCAGATTTTCTCATTTATGAATATAAAAAATATTTTAATTTTGTATAAACTCAACTCTGTCGTGAGAATTCCATCTGTTCTTCCTATCGTCGTGAAGAATGCCTAAGCAATCAGTCCTGTTGTCATTAATTTGTTTTTGTGAGTTTCCCAAATGGTCATAGACGAGTATCGACATTAGAGAATTATATTGCACCAAGTTTTGAGTCGCTTTGTAGACTTTATCGATTGACTTCAGTCGACACGAGGAGTCTGTGTTCTGAGACACTCATCAAGTGATAGTGAATTTCCCTATGGTCTCGCTCGATATCATGAATTTATGTTTACTTTACTCTACTAATTACAGATTTAGTCCTCAATAGCTGTTTTAAGTTCACTATGGGTTTAATTGAAAGATATTATACTAGTATATTTTGCATTTGATCATCCTCTTTTTCGACGATTCGATCTACACTCTAGCATGGTGTGGAGTGATAAAACTCTTGACTATTATTTTTGTGCTACAATTATTGTAAGGTGACATACTTCACTCAACAACTGAAATAGAAAATGGATAATTCATATGCATATGCATATATATGTGAAAAAGCTGTAATACACCTTGTAGCCTAACCTGATGAATTCATTGGAAGATTTTATATTCTGTTTACTAAGCAAATGGGTAAGCCCTTGTATCGATTATAATCCTACGTGTTTACATCGCACATGCGTTTGAATGTGCTAGAGTATGCAATTAAAAATTATTCACTGTGTCCCAAGACTTACGAAATCGTTTATTAATAACTCTGCTAATCTCTCTTAGTCTAAGTGTGTATTCCGACTGACTAATGAAGTGTCAGGATTTAGACAATACCTTAATTACAAAAAAATGACCGAAAGCTTCGTAATTGTCTGTAGGTTGTCAGTTTGTGTAGATTGAGGTGTACACAGCATTGGATTTGTAAGTCCATTATTTCTTGTACCTGTCCAGTAAGTAAGATGAATGGTGTGAATTAGTTAAAAGAGAATAGTTCTAGAATGAAATGGTCTTTAATACTTTTCGTTCATTCTATCTTTGAAAGCACAGCAAGAAAATAAACTTCTCGCCAAATGAATGAATATGCACAATCAGCAATACATCAGATTTTAGATTTGCGCGTTGGTGTCTTCACAAATTGGTATCAGCTGGAAGAACTGTCGAAAATCAAGAAGTATGATTTTAGAAGTGGCTAGGGTGCGTCTTCAGCGTGTCAGTTTACCGACATCTCTGGTCAACAGTGTTTACTTTAGTAGAATTAGTTTGGAAAATAAGTAGGGTTTTTTAAGTCAAAATATAGTGAGAATTCATTAGGTCTATGATTGTTGAGTTGAGCCACACAGATTGTGTGACTGAGGTCCTCAGGGAACTTAGAGACTGGAATCCTTTCACGATTGTGCAGATGTATTCACTCTTTGTCATTTTAATCAAAGATTTTTGTATTTCCCAAAGAATGGAAAAAAACGCTACTTAATGCTAATAGCTTTATCAAAGTATTTATCAAACTAGAATTTACAAAACCTCAACGTATATATAATAACCAAGTCATCGTCCATCAGCATGGGGTCATTTTTGCGTTGTCAAGTTGGCCAATTGGTAAAGATAACAAAACCAGGTGTACATTGTTGGATTTGATAAGTGTATGAAATTATAAAAGCAGCGTGTGTTCACATAATGAAATTTCTTATCACATTCGTGTTGATTTTGTCACTTCATGTGGGAGGAAGGTGTTGTGACTAGGTCAAATTCTGTTTTATACCATCATTCCTATTCAGACAATTTGGATTCCACTCGATATGAAGTGCTTCTGATATTAGACGTTCTTTATGACTTTTGAAATTTTTCCGGATGATGATTTCAATATTGTCAAAATCAATTTTGTGACCTGATTCTATGACGTATAGACCACCTATGGCTGATGATTTTTCAGGCTTTTCTAGTTCAACTGGATTTCTCAGTGGTTGATTAGATGCTCCACGGTGTTCATTTCTTCTGATTTTGATTTCCCTCTGGCGATTTTTGTCCGACGTATATTGCATCACATTCCAAGCATATTATTATTTCGTAGACACAATTAGATAGAGAATCCTTGAGGATTTGGTCTTTTATAAGGACAAGGTTGCTTTGCAGTGTGTGAGTCTGATGCTTTGAAGAAAACTCTGATGTCGTGCTTATTGATTACTCCTCTGATATCGTCTGACGTCTCTGATCTATATGGAATAACGACTGTTGAGGCCCATGTCTTCGGAACACGTCTTCGACCGTACTTAGTGTAAGTGTTGACTTTGTTGATGAAGGTCTTTGAGTAGTTATTTTGCTTGAGAGTCTCAGTAATGTTTGATATTTTTTTCCCTTTCCTTCCCATCCGTTATTGAAGGCTGCGCTCGTCTAAGAAGACTTGAAGCGACTGATGACTTTGCGCTGATGGGGTGTGATGATCCGAAGTCTAAATATTCGTTGGAGTGGGTTTTCTGCCTGGATATAGATATATTAAAATATCCGTTTTCCCTCCTCTTAACTAGGCAGTCTAGAAATGGTAGTTCACCGACGTCTGATTCTGCTTCCGAAGTAGACTGAATTCTGGGAGATGGATTGTCCAGTTTCTCCAAGAATAAAATGTGCAGATCTCGTTTTAGCACTACGAAAGTATCATCAACGTATCTTAACTACATTTTGGGCTTGCGTATGCTTGAAAAGATGTTATCTTCGAATCTATTCATAAAGAGATCAGCAACTATTATCATCTTTGTTTATTATCTTTAAAATTGTGAGCACTTTCTTTTCCTTCTGTCCTGATTGATTAACAGGGAGGTATAGGGAGAACAGTGGTTCACCCTGCTAATTAGGAGTACTGCACTTCGTAGACACTTAATTAAGTCTGCGAACTTTCGAAAGGTATGTTGAAAACCATTTTGAGTTAAGAAATGTCGAGGAAATGCAAGAGCGAATAAATTCAGTTTCAACTGCTGAGTTTATGAACTACTGAAAAGTCATGAATTAAAGCAGGACTACATGGCCATACACTGTTTAGTATTCAGTTGACGATCAACTACAGATTTCACTATATAAGCCTCAATGCATGTTGTTGACGCTGCTCACCGTATAGTGGAGGACTTGCGAGCAGGATCCAGTCCTATCTAGCATGAGAATAACTGCAAACTGAGTAACTTGCTGATGAATGATGTCGATCAGAGTCCTTATGAAGGCACACGTTTCCTTACTGATATCTCTTGTGAATGGATATTAAAAGGGTACAATTAAAAAAACTTCTGCTAACAACTTTATATACCCAACTATTGGCTAACTTCCAAGTTGTTTTTCTCTCTTTCACCACTCATGGTCCCTAAAATGTAACACTTTTCTCTGCTTAAATCCATAGGTAGGTCAAACACCATTGCACGTTGCAGCACTTCACAATCAGAGGCGTATTGTGACGATGCTGTTAAATTTCCACGCTAGGATTGATACAGTTGACGCTAAATTAGATAATCCGATGCATATTGCAGTATCAATGGGACATGCTGACATCGTGAAGCAATTATTACGAGCCAACAAAGATAGAATGGAACTGGACTGTTTTTCTCGTGATACTAGTAGACCGAATGAGAATGTAGATATACGTGAGATGATTAATGCTCAAGATAAACTACCAGACGATATCGCCTTGTGCCAACGCTGCCCTGAAATCTTAAGGATAATGGCGTCAGATATCACGGAAAAGCATGAAGTATCACGATATTCATATCATCGTCTGCATCCTGCTCGATTGGCATTGGAAGATATTGAAAATCTTCGAGGAAATTCAATGAATGGAGCAAACAATGACATGATCACAAGTCTCTCAAACTATAACGGTGGCGATGATACAACATCGTCTGAGGAGGACCTACCAAAAATGATGCGCAAACGGGGATACCCAGATAATAAGAATTTGGTGAGTCTTTCTTCCGCTTCAATTATACAACCGCTATTTTGATTCATTTCAATGTATTTCGTCTTTCTAACAGTGAACCTCAATATGTCAGTAGCATAGAAAAGAATGATGCATGAATTAGGCATACAAACTAAGATTTTCCGTCACCTGTTACATGCCTGCATGAGTTCAGTTACAGTGTCTTGATTAGTAAGTATAGTGTAAATTCTTGCCGCCCCTTTCACGACTAGACTTTGGCACAATTCCCACAAAGTCGATGCAGTTAAATTCCCCCTTCACTTCAAGAAGTATTGCAGGTGTTGCACGCCTGTAAGTATTCCTATCTGTCGATGCGTAATGACATGATAAATAGACACTCTTCCTTGACTTGGGTTTTGGCTTAATAGTTCTAAGGTCAATCGCCTCTGCTATATGCAGTAGACGAACACAGAGTCTCCATAATGGATAAGATTTTATTTTGATAAATCACACAGCGCTTCGGATGGTTTTTGTCTGTCCTTTACCAAACCATGATGGGAGATGTTCAGTAACACGTAGGCTAACCAGTCTAGTAGTAGCTTACATCTTAGTGGCTCTCACTGCTTTTCATATTCAGAGGCCACCAGAATGAGTCTTGATGGGCCTTTCAGTTTGGATGAAGTAGCAAAATTTCACAGACGCTTACTAACCTCTGGTTTCTGGTTTCCAACTGCGTTGAACACTATTACCACGGGGGACTCTATATCGTGACAGGCTTCGTCAGGCCTAGTTATGCTGTTAGTCTCAGATACGCGTCTGTCACCTTCCTCTCTAAATGGTGACTTAGTGTTCTCATGAAGTTGGGGAGGTGTCATTTTCATAGAAGCCCCTTTCCCATGTTCATTCAGTCGTAGGCATATACATACCGTATTATCTGATGCACTTGGCTGTGATCTGTTATAGCTGGATGTCTTCTTATCATTGTATTCACTTGCGTAAGCGTCAGATTTCTTGTTGACGCAACATTTGACCTGCCGATAGTGCCACTTATTCTTATCTGTTTGATAAATTTGATGAATACCCGCATAGGTTTTAATTGCAAATTAGTCTTCTAGGGATTCTCTGGCATTTTTCGTTTTTCTTCTGTGCGAGAGCTATTCTCAGTCAGACGGTACTTGGTGAGATTTTACACCTTCCAGTAATGCATCAGTCTTGGTGTAGAATACACGTGTATATGAGGCTGCTACTTTCTAAATGCTCCGAGTCCGCCTTGCTAACGAATGCTCGTCTCTAACTAAGCCCGACATATTTCCGCCATCGGAAAATGTCTCTTCTATGCTGCGTGACCTCAGATGATTCAGTTTTCTCAGTGATATTCTACTTTGTTTGTTACAAGATAACATCATTTCTAGGCGAATACTACCCATACTTCCCTGTAGTCGTTTCAAACAGATTTTATAATACACATTAATATATGTGCTCCGATGGTAGACATTCAATTTGTGTTTCTCTGTTGACTGGAGCTTTTTGTGATGTATCGACACCATGCACTAATTACTGATGGATAATCTTAGACTTTAATTGAGGAAAGCTGATTCCAGTATTACTACTACTGCTTCTACCACTACTATTAACAATCATAATTGTATTATTGCTGTTACTGATACTTCAAATATGGAAAAGTATTTCGTCTAACACAAGTCAGCCGGCGGTCAACTATACGGCTTACTTGTGCTCTTAATTACCGTTGATATTATTACTACTATTATAATTATTATTATTATTAACTCCTTAGGTTCCTAGTGAATCATAAGGAGTCAGTAATACATCTCCATTCTATTGATAGTATTTCATGACTACAAATTACCCAGAGTTGAAGAACAAAGAAGACTGAGATATTTCGGCCATCGTTTACCTTGGAAGTCTTGGTCGTAAACGAAGGAAAGTGACTGAGAAATGGTGCATTTAGAAGTGTACAGCACTGACCAATATATACACGTTATGAAATGAGGTGGTCAACATTAAATGTTGAAGATGCACATGAATTAATCCCCGGTTGATAAGCAATCCGCTTTTCTAGTGTGTCCACTCAAATTTATCGATCAAAAATGCAATGTGGTCACTAAGTAATGTGGCATAACACTAATGTACATTGAAATATTTTGGCATTAGTCCTTAGGAGTTGATGCGTGAGAAGTCCAACACATAGATCCTGTTTTTATTGGTACTCTTCAGGAAGACGTGCCAAGGGATCTTGTGGCGTATGAGATTCGAGAAAGTGTAAGTCAGTGCCGAAAATGATTCGTTCGTCTTGTTTAGACCGCCAAACAGTTTGGACAACTGAAATACAGACTGAGAAATCATACATGTATGCAGAGTGATCAACAAAAGTAGAGAGGGAAGTGAGAAGTGTTTACCCATTTCACCAATATAGTCTCTATAATATTCTATTAAATAGCGAGCAGCCTCACTATATTGTTTTCTCTTGTGACTACCTGGAAAGCTCTTCCGTTCTGTATGCACCTCAGAATTGGGCAGATATCCGACACAAGTGTTCTAGCTTTTCGCTAGAAGTGCAGCAGGTATCTTTTCTGCTTATACTTGTGCGACTAATTTCACCCGTACACCAATGTTTCTGCAGATTTGCCGGTATAAGATAGTCAAATATCTCTTATTTCCTGTCTATCTATTAGTGCCACATCACATATGTAGAAAAGAAAATTTCATTCTGTTCTGCACTATAAAGACTGGTACATCGTAAGCACCTCATTTATTCTCTAGTCTCATTCAAATTTCCACCTAACTGCATGACCTTATATACAGTCTACATATAGCATGTAAATATTGCACTGTCAGTCTATGCATGGTAGAAGTTTATTAACTGTTTAATCGGGCAGTGGAAATTTAGAGAAATCATTGTGTTAAGTGAGTAGGTTTGCTAGTATTTGATTGGTTTCATGCTAAATTTAGTTGTGAACCGATATCATCTAGAGAGATCATTAAAATGGATAGTTGTACAGTGTTTAAGGGGGTCTATTTATCTGTGGTGCAGAGGCGAAACCTTGCTACTGACCGAGCACAGGACCTCCAGGTCGAGAGGTGAGTATATTGCTATTCAGCTATTAGGCTTAAATTGATTGGACAATGATTTTCAACCTTTTCGCGATGCATAATCTACTTTCGTTTCCGACAAACGCCTTTTGAACCTAGACAATCTTAAACATTTTGTTCAAACAGTTTCTCAGTAGATTTACTCTGAAGTCGTGCTGATACTCACTGCTCATACTTCTTATTCCGCTTTCCTTACAGAAATACAAATATATTCATAGTAACTTAAACGAGACAACACCTCCCTCAAACACTGCCGATTCATCACCGGATGAAGATTTCGAAAAGGATAAGGTATTGTTTAATTTATAAAGATGAATAGGCGTGAATTACATGCTTTGTTACAATTATCACAATAATAATTAATTAATGAAAATGAAGTATGAACACTATATGAATTTACGCTTCACTTAATTTAAGGCTTCTAGTTGATATGCAGTGGAAATGAAATAAGGCTGATGCAGACGAGAATATATATATATATATATTCAGGGGTTGTGTGCATGTAATATTGTCTGCTTTTATCTCTTAAAGAAAACGTGTCCTTATCAATATGAACCGTAGACACGTCACACGGGTTTAGCTGATGTTTTCCTGAACAATAATTTCATATCCATTGTATTTAGACATTGACACACTTGAATTTACCTAAATGAAGTGTTTGGTGTTGTTTCGTCGGATTGAAATGTTTGTATTTTTGTGGAAGTGGATAAACAGGGGAGCAGAGGATACTTGTTCAATCTATAGATTTGCCAGTTACTACTAGTCAAAGTAAGTAATAATAGTAAACTGACTGAAATGTAGTGAAGTGATAAAATATTCCCAAATCTCCTGTTGTCAGTATATGTAATTGCATTGGAATTGATGAGTTCATATCAGTATACCGGCTTTGTTTACACGAGTCGCATTCTGGTTAATGGTTATCAGGAAAACCTTACAAAGTGAATTGACAACCCGGTGTATGCAATGCACGAAACTCGTTGTGTGACAGATTGTGAATTCAACCAATTATTTGGGGAAAATAGATAAGATGGAATTTAAATCCCGAACCAATTTGTTGACAGTCAAACCAATCAGCTACCCTGAGACTGAAATCTGTGATACAGATTTTATGGTGTAACTTAATCGGATGTACTGAGACATTCATGTGTATATTAGTGTTTCCACAGCAAATCTGTTGACACGAAATGCATATTTTCCGGGGTTTTCTTTTAAAAAGCTACGTTAGGGAACTTTTACATTTAAAAGTCTGGCGATATGTTAAGCTTAAAGTTACATGAAACACTTCATTGGAGAACCATTGAAGAACCAATTGTCGCAAAGTGGTCAACAATACTATTCTACCTATCTAGTTAGTGTGCACTCAGTTTTCTTTCTATGTTTAATTTTAACACTTTCTCCAGTTAAACGAATCACCTAGGGAGAGTATCCATGACGAAGCAATAATATCAACTGGGGCACGTTTCAAGCCGTCTTGCAATGTGAGCTCGCGCAATGTCGATAACAGCACACCACCACATATATAAAAATGGGACTTCCTACTTCATAGGAAGTCCTTCTGTCCATTTCTCAGCCTTTCCCTCGTATCTTTGTTCTGTACCCATTAAACGACAATAGAATACCTAGTTGTTCAAATCCCGGCTGCAAAATCCACATTGGAGCTCCATTGGGTCAAGCGTTAGGTACTTTTATTCTGCGCCTTAAATGCATTTGAATCTTTACGAAATGCATACAAGACTCAAGCGGGATTTTTGATTCCACGTGAACTGTACAACAGTCCCGGTCTACAAAATTCATGCAGCAGCTATCGATAATTTCTTTTTGTAGTCTTCTAGAAGTTGTCGGCGAAAAGTCTTGAGATCTATTTGTATTCCCACAGATAATCATCAGCAGCTAAGCGGTTTCGAGAAAATAGGCGAAGGCTGTGATGATCTTTGATGCCTTTTTGTAATCCTCGCTCACGAAACGAGGAGTCTGAGTGTTCCTATCCCGGACTACAAAACGTGAGACGCTCACAAGTAATCTTAGCAAGTGGCTTTTGTGTTCAGTAAGGAGACTGAGCTTGTCGGGGGAACATATTGAAGTTATCCACGGTCTCAAGTGTCAATGAAATAACCCTAACCACGGTTATTATGTCTAAGAATTTAGTCTAGATAATTACTAATTTCCGACCAGCATTAACCTCAAGCGAAATGGAAGATATTGTTTTACATGATAACTACTTATATGAAGCTGACATTGAACTGAAACAGACCGCTAGGCTACAACATGTGGGTGCAGACAACCGGTTAATGACCTCTGATCCTTTCGTAACATCCATGTGTTATTTTATGCACATCTGTGTGTGCATCTGAATGAAGGTGAAACCGAATTAACACACCAAAGGTCCAACATTTTCAGATATCTCATGAAATTATCATGTTTGTGTTTTGGAACCAGGGGACCTAACGTTGCAGAAATAGTGGTGAAGACAGTTAGTGATAAGCAGAATCCAAGGGTTCCCCGAGCCCAGTAGAGGTGTGCAGTGTCATCTAGACTGATGTATACAGGCAGAAAACTTTCGGTGGGCCCTAAAAATGTTGAGAAGTGGAAAATGACTGAATGAAATTACTGCGAACGATGTTGTGTGACTAGACGAGATATATAAGACTTATAAGAGACATATAAGGCTTAATAACAGAAACTTCTAATGAGAACAAAACTATATTAACTTTTCTGAAGACAGTGCTGAAGCGTTTTGGAGTGCATTACGAGAAGTAGCTACAGTGGTCTACAGCTGCTGATCAGCAGTCAAGATCGTGAGGCTGTTTCAAACGACAAATGAAGCAACGACGATAGACCTGAGAATTGCATGCATGTTTCGAAACTGTAGTGACGAAATACAGGCGAGATTAAATAAGACAATGTTTAATGCATTGGAATGCAGCATAATTCCCTCGGACTGTTGTAGACGGTGGAACATTTGGGTTCATAAGAAAAAGAACAAACCACCCACCCACCCAGCATAAGTCTGAGTGTCTGCATTAAATTTTATATCCCAGCAAATTTCACTTCTCTGCACTTCTTTGGCTTCTTGTAACCCATGATTTGGTCTGGTGTTCTCAGCTTTCTCATGAGTCCACCTTACTTTAAAATCACTCGCTGAGGTATACTGTATCAGAATATGTAACAAATAATCCAATCATCAGTCAGTCCAGGTTCTCAAACTCACCGACTAACTTACCTTCCTCACCACCTAGTTTTCAGTTTAGCCTCAATATTGTCCCTGCTGTGAATCTGTCCAGCTGTGTAAATGCTTTCCAAGCGATGATCAACCTCCTGTCATATTGCTAGATGCAAACTTATAAATTATAACCATACAGGATAGAGCATTAAGCTATTTGTATTCGTTATCTACGATCATTCGTTTTTCATCACATTGATTTCTAATATTCTAATCTCTGACAAAGTGATATTAATTGTGTTTGATGCTGAACGCTAATGAAATCGATTCTTGCCATCTCTGTTTTAGAAATCGTCAGCCAAATGAAGATGGTTTACTCTCACAATGGCATGGCTGAGATCGACTTCAAGCAACAGATTAGGCTGCGATTGATAGATCCTGCTCTTTATATCGTGTCTGACAGTTCTTATTTTTTATGCTTTGTTCATTAGACTCACGTTTTTTTCATAAATAAACTCTTCAACACACTAGTATAGGCTTTTCACACCTTTTAGATCGGTTGATAAACTCATAATATACAAGGAGGTGAACTTTCTGGAAAATACAGTTGTCAGACATAAAACGAAAATTACAAATCAGTGTCAAAAAGAAGTTCACAGATAACAGTGTCGTAACAGAGCTAGGAAGCGAGAAAATGTACGCATTACTGGAATTTATAGACGTCAAACTGAGAAATCGAAAACACGATATCGATTGACACCTAACAGCTTATCCAAATCATCCCTCACATCACGAAAATGGAAGTCAAAGCTGTACACACATGCTCTAACTTATTTCCCACGACTTGAAAAGTATACGATAATTTTTCAATATTAGAAATGTGCAATGCCGCTAGACACATACATGTCGCGTTCACCAACAGAATAACATACATATCTATGCTAATGACACTTCCCGACATTAAAGTGCTGGTCAGGCTTGCATGTTACAGTGAACCAACGACTTGATATGCCGGGAACTAATGCTTCTACTGAATTATTATGCTAGCGAATTTCAATAACCATGTTTCACAGGTGTAGAGACGTTTAGAGGAAAATGTCGCACAGCACACCTCCTTCAATGCATAGTTAGATGTCACACCAACAACAGAGATAACGCAAGTTGGGGAATGTATTACTAGCCTCGACTTAGAATACAGTGCATCAGTCGGCGCGTTATACTATCTCAGTGATCTCTTTGCCATTTAAAATAATGCATCCAGTAATGCATCAGTCTTGGTGTAGAATACACGTGTATATGAGGCTGCTACTTTCTAAATGCTCCGAGTCCGCCTTGCTAACGAATGCTCGTCTCTAACTAAGCCCGACATATTTCCGCCATCGGAAAATGTCTCTTCTATGCTGCGTGACCTCAGATGATTCAGTTTTCTCAGTGATATTCTACTTTGTTTGTTACAAGATAACATCATTTCTAGGCGAATACTACCCATACTTCCCTGTAGTCGTTTCAAACAGATTTTATAATACACATTAATATATGTGCTCTGATGGTAGACATTCAATTTGTGTTTCTCTGTTGACTGGAGCTTTTTGTGTTGTATCGACACCATGCACTAATTACTGATGGATAATCTCCGATTTTGAGGTTGTATATTTGGAACTAGAATCATTTGGTCAGAGGGTTTCTCCAATTTAATATAAGGTGAACTAATGGTATTTCTTTTCATCTAGGCAAATGCCATCTAATTGATCCCGATAGTTGTTATATTTTGTATCACATCGACTTATAACCGTAACCACTATGCCACTGTCTTGCAAATACACTGCTGAATAAATTCCTGTGAACTTTACTAATCATAGGTACACAGTCTCTTTCACGATGCGTGTAAAGCAGGAAATATTCGCTTGTGCAGAACGCTGATAGAAAGTGGACGAGCAGATGTAAATTTAATGGATAGCGTAAGTTATTCAATGTCGTATTTTTATTCAACTAAAAACTTCATATTATTCATGTTGTATGTAACTGGTGTTTAAAACATGGTGTACAGTTGGAATGGGGAGCATTAAAACTAACAGACATAGAGAGAATCGGTGCATCTGTCTATAAGTACCATTAGGTCAAGGCTTGTGAAATGTAAGGTATCCGAATGAGAATGTCGGAGTTAAGCACCAAGGATTATGTGCGGTCTGTAAGTTAGTAGACATACCAGTGAACCTGTGATGGGTGCAAAACGTGTCACATGCTAGATCAGTATCTTTCTTTGCTCAGAATCTTTGCCAAAATTAGTCGGGTAAATTGGTGATCGAAGTCACCTCAGAAAGTGTAGGTTACATGATTAGGGTTGCTGTAAGCAGCTGAAAGTTTCCAAAAGCATGGTACAAAGTGACCCACGTATATTCGCTCTCGACATCTTGAGAACATCATTTGTTTGTTGCTTTGTTTCAATTCCTTGGCGATTGCACAATGCCCATTTGTTTTATTGAAATGTCTTTATTTCAAATATAATTATGCACTGTATTAGTGTTTTATATGTGTTGCGAGAATACTGTATTTATACTAGAAGCCTTAGATAAAATTTCCTATCAAATATTTGGAAGTCTGTTGAGATGAAAATCATTACTCATGCATAACGCTTTCACCTCATATCGCTTGACATCAGAGATCACCCACAGACTTAAACATCATGGTACTTTTAAGCAGGCGCGATCGCGTGAATTCTGCCGCAGAATTATGCTGCGGTGTTCACGTGGACTCAATTTTCGAAGAAGGAGACATGCTTCCCAGAAGCTATCTTGGCCAGCGAAATCTATTTCGAAATTGCCTGCACCAAATATCAAAAGTAACGTTGGTATCGGAGTTATCGTGGAATTCAGGAATGTTACTAGCGATTCTATCCAGTGAAGGGGCTGCTAAAACTAGAGTAGCATGTGACAATTTGATAGTTGAAGTTTTTCTATGCGCGAACAGACCGGTAATTGTCATTCGTTTCTCAAGGAGGCTGTCTGACTTCGATGAATCCAGCAGCTTCGTCTCCACCTTTCTATTTCAAAAATTATCGCCTCACTAGAAACCACTGTGGTCATGGGAATCGTCTGTTTGCTACCAACAGTGTACAAGCATTAGGTGATTTCCCCACTGTTATTGAATGGTTGGAAGTGTCACCATACCAAAATATGTTTAGAAATATGTATCCACAAGATATGTCGATTAGCGCATGAAAACGATAATGGCCAGAAGTAGTAGACATTATTTTAAAAGGATGAAGTCAGTTGATAGAGTAGATATCGATTGCTATTTCCGAGTGTCCTCTGGAAGTTTATACTCCAACTATTTACCTCCATTTGGTAGACTTAAATGATGAGGTATTAACAGCTTTTTTCTGTGTGGTTGGTTTTTAAAGTCATAATTGGGAATGAGTATGGATCTTAACAATCATCTCAGTACAAATAGTTTGGATTTTCCTGCACGACTAAATGTTACACATTAGTAGGAATCACCTTGGGATAGTTCGTGGTCGGTAAGCGACAAGGAAATACATCATTACAGTCGTAAAGAGTGTTTCTCTTAACCTCAAATACGAACATTTATTCAAGAAGAGCCAATGAAATGCGGTAAAATAATAACAAAATGATTGAATGTTTTGCTGTTGTAGTGTTGCAGCATATCATTACTCCTTAAATATTCAACCATAGGGTTTTATAAATTAAGGTATTAAATATTTAAGTATCGGTAGACAAATAACAATCTGTAGTGGTCCATTTGTGGTGTCATCCGCATTTCATCGCCTAGTAATCTTTATCCAAATTCCTGATAAACTAGATCATTCTGATGTGTTAGAGGCCAGGTCAGGGAATGCTTTGTAAAGTCAATATAACTTGTTGATAAGTTCTCTGTCACTGTTAGTTATTTGATTCTCAATGGTATCGTTGCAGTTTGCCTTTATAACATTTGGAAGTATAATTGAGTGATTCAAATATTTCCTTATCAAGTTCCTTGTAAACCCCATGTTTATTTACTTGCTATCATTACTTCTGACGAGTGTATTCACCAAGTTGAATTGACGTTTCCTACTTTTTTGTGTAGTCAGGCCATACACCCCTTCACAAAAGCATCCTTTCCAAAAGCCTTCAAGTAACTTCATTACTTTTAAAATGTGGAGCAGAGGTGAATCAGTGTGATCGTGAGGTGAGTTTCGTGTAGTGCTACTTATGTTGCTCTTCTTCCGCATATCTCTGTGGGAGTTTGAACTTCGTAATGCCTAGATATTTTTCAAGTAGAGTAGTGAGTAGAACTTGAGCTGTACTATCTCATATAAGGAATGCTTAAGACCATCAAGTACAGACTGTTGTCATTAATAATCGTTTTAGAATTGACGGATTGTCAGCTAATTTTTAAACCAAAGAGAACAAAATAACCCACTCGCGAATTTCGTGGGTTTACACAAATTCTTCGGGAAACATCATATATTATATGCTCTTCTCCGCAAAAATTTATACCATCATTACTGAAGAAAAAAATCAACACATACGAATTACGGAACCTAAAGGAAAGGGAGTAAGAGCTTCTAAAACATTCTTTATATGAGCTTCGAAAATACCATTAACTTTTGATTTAGTTGTGTTGTAAATCAGAATCAGCTACAAATTTTCTCCATCATTTCAATACTATTAACTATTTAGAACTATGCTGACTCCAAGAAGGTGAAATCTCAGTGGTGTTTTGTGGTGAATAAGGCTGAGCGAGTATGATGTGTTTTTAGAGTGTTGTGTGGGCGACAGTTGATGTGAGAACTGCCACTGGAGGTCACCGAGACAGCCAAAGGTTAAGGCACTAACAAGAGGCGTTACAACGACTCGTACTGGAGCAAGTCGACTAACAGTGTAGACATCAGAAAGAATATTAGGTAGCAGTAGATGAGTTTTCAACACACAACTTAGCACAAAAGTGCAGCAGTTCAAGTCGCCGCACATCATATAGCACACAAAGATAATGGATTTGACTGTACTGGGGAAAGAAGTACACACTGGATAGCCAGAATTAAGTGATTCTGGTAGGTCATGAAGTGTGAATGCATCTACATCATTGAGGTCGGTTTCGAGTCATGTCAACGAAAGTCTCCATCCATTGATTCTTAGTGACTTGGGAACGTGGGCAGAGCAGTCTGCTCTCACTGCTCTCTCTCCCTAGGTGAGTCAATCAAACAGTTAAAGGGTTCATGGATTGATACCAGGTTTTGATTTGACCACCCCTAACTCTTTACTAACCTAATTATATGTCAGCTAACATTGCTCATCGAGAAAGACGAAGGATTTTCATTCATATCACGTGTCTTCCTTGCCTAACTTTACTGCCGACCTCATTGCTTTTCTCCGTATTATACCACTTAACATGAAGAATAGAGCACAAACACCTATGGTCAAAGACAGTTAGCCTCTTCAAGTCCTCCACTTTCAAAGACCATGTCTCGCAGCCATAAAGGGCGACAGACCGAGTTGCTGCTTCTTAGAAACGGCCTTCAATGCGTAGCCGGATACCACGTCAATGACAACATTAGTGGTTTGTGAATAACGTCGAACCATTAAAGTCAATATTGCAAGATGTATGTGTGAACAGATCGTCGATAGATTATAGTACAAAACACGTGTATGTGACAGTATGCATAAATTGAGAATTCGATTACAAAAGAGAATTATCATGAGTAAGAACGACTATACAGTAATGAGTAGTCCTGATCAGTGTTCACACTGAGTTTCATTTAGTCTGATTAGAAGCTCCACATGAGCAAGTGATAATATAAACAACAAAAAGAGAATATGCGAGAGAGGGTTATATGTGTGTGGAATAAAGTTATCGTTATTATTATTTTTGTGTAAATCAGCAATTCAATCCATAGAGCACCGGGCTGCTAAATCAGTAACCACTAGTTCGAATCATAGAGCAGATCAAGTTCTCGTTTCAGTTTCATTTACAAGTCTGTGAGACAAGGAATAACCAAATGGACAATATATTTGTCTTTTCTCACAATCACACCAATCAAAATGTTGTCATTTAAATAACCCCCATCTGTTTATGCTTGTTTCTAAAACAAAAAAATATCTTTTTCTGTTTTCATTTCATAAACAACGGTATAAAAAGGGAAACACAGGTTTACACTATGCCTCCTATAATGGTTTCTATAAGTTAGTCAAGTGTTTGTGCTACTTTGGAGCCAATCCGAATTCGCAGAACAAAGTGAGTGCCTTTATTAGTAATATTAATATTATCGTTGCACCAATTTTTGAGTAAAGAATTTAATGATCAATCACACTCAGTCAGTTAGTTAAGTTTAACGCTAAAAATGTGATAAAGATGGTGGTAATTTGAAATTGAAGATTAACACTACATGTGAAGATGGATATTGCAAGTACAGTGAGTGTAATATACTATTTGTTTATACATTTTCGTCTGATATGTGTTTAGGCTGTTAAAAGGGTGCTGGTAGAAGATAGTGTTTAAGATTAGCAGTGGCAGTCCACTCTCTCATCACGAGGCTCTAGAAGACTCAAGACCAACAGAAAAATGGTATCAAGTTACCAGGATATTCTAGAGTGAGGAACGGGAGTTGGGCATTAAGTAAGTGCGCAGAAACAATAAATACATAAATAAGAAGCAAATAGTGCGTAAGAGTTCTAAATGATGATGACTAGAAGTGATCAGATTAATAGTAGTAGTGGTGAAGTTAATGTATCATAGCCAAATCCAAGGTGTTTAATAAGTTGTCCCTCAAGAACCAATCACATACAGGGACTGCTAGGAAAGGTCATTGCAAATCAAATCATGCTTGCATTTTTGGACTTCGAGGAGGTAGATAGAGTATTCCACTTATTCGCTGGATACTTTTTCTGTAAATCTATACTGTTAAGTAGGGTTATGACATTTTAAACTAAGGTTTAGTGTATAGGGTTAAGGTTAGGATTGGGATTATAGCGAGATTTAGGAGTGGGTTAAATTACATTGTCAGAAATATCAATGAATCTGTAAGTACCATGAAGTACAGTCACTGCATTAATGCATCTATCGCGTATGGTATGATTTCTTTATACATCATCTGTGTAGTGACAGGGAGACATTCTTACAAAGCATAAGTGACAAATTTGTGGTGTAATATCATGTTTGCAGTGATTTTTAGTGCATTTTTCAACGATTATGCAACTTTTCTGCATCTGAATTCTTATTGGTTTTTCGAAGTCACTGTGGTTTTGGCTATGATAGTTTAACTTTGCCCTAAAGAGTATGCAATGACATCATCAAAATTAACTGAAGTAACCGAATTGGAAAAATTGTCTACATGATAGGGAGAGCTTGATGAGCGTTTCTTTCTGAATACGCGAGTTTACTTTAAACCGTTTAATTGACATGCCTTAGTTGATACCTAGTAGAATGGGACTAACTTGTGCTTTAATTATCTTAAGTGATGTTAAAAAATCAATTCTGTGGTCACCATTCGCACCTCCTTGATAATCAGTTGATGACTTTGAAACCACGTAAGTGTGGTATTGACTTACACAACTAGGCACTTCCAACTACTTCTGTATGCTGGCCTGTTCAGGACGACGGGTATGCTACAGAATAAACTGTTTCGTCGCTGGATTATGATACAAATTAAAGATAACCTCTCATCATCAACCTACGTGAAATGTTAAGATGAGATGAATGGCAGACGTGTAACAATTATTGGTAGGCTGACGGTATGAGACGTCTTGCTAAGTCAGTCAAATGCGAAGGATAATGAGTGAGCCAATACTGATAACGATGAAAATAATAATAGCTTTATTCTGAAAGACGTGTTCATAGACAACACAGGATCTCTAGTGTGTTTCATCGTAAATTATTTACTTCTTGTGCATAATCGATAACACATCGTGTGAAGCAATATCGTCCCATTCGAAGCATGCTGCAATGTTATTCTCCCATTTCCTTTGAAAAACCCACAGTGGTGGATAAATACCAATTTGAAAATGTGTGTGAGCATAGATTGCGATTCACAGACGTAACTGGATAGTTAAAACAATACAAAGTGAAGTAAATACGATGCATTTTGGTGGATATAAAATTTAAGTAGCCCAGTGATTCAAGCAGACGAAAAGTATTCATTCTAATGCATTTGAATAAATTGACTACGTGTCTTATGCCGTCAGCCTTTTAATACAACAAAGACGGTTTCACTAGAGTTTAACCCGGATAAGTAGTAGGTAGGGATCTCTGCAGTGCTAGAAGACAGTTTCTACTGTGCAATTATTATTATTAATTATTCCTTACCATCTGCCTGAACGACTGTCTGACTTGTAGAATAAATTCAATCGATCATATTTTGGAGTTCAATTAATTAACAGTATCAATTGTCTGACGAAAGAATTCATTCTCAGTTTCATTCTCACAAAACTTTAAAGCGAGGAACAAATGCTAACAAAGTCGAATTTAATGCATTCATCGAATTTCGGCAGATTTCCTGAGCTAAATACTCTGTATACAGTGTTGTATATACACTGTGAGAAATAAACAATGATATATAACTAATAAACTACAGTGGATCAATCACGTGAAACGAAAGGTCAGAATATTTTACGGGTCAACCTGAGATAGATTGGATGTGGAAGTGGCGAGAGAAATGAAAAATTACGTCATCATAATACGCAAGTGGTTGTCAGAGCGAGAACTCGAAAATGCTAAAAGTCGCAAAATGAATAATAATAGTAATACTAATAGTAACAATGTTAATAGTGAAAATGTTGTAACGAGTTCAGTTAATGGTAGTGACAAAGGTGGTTTCGATTGGAACAGTAATAATAATAATAATATATGAAGTAAAGCAATGGTAATAGTAACAGTTAACAAGTGGAAGATATTAGCATGGTAGGTTCTAAGCAGTCACGTCGTTATTATTATTATTATTATTACGACTACTTTTTACTATTTTTCACTATTGTTACTACCATTATTCAGTTTGTAATCCCTAGCATTTTCAAGTTTTACCCCTGATGACTCATCATGTCTTATGGTAACGTATGTGAACTATAATCAACTATGGTTTCAATTTTTCATTTCTTATGTCCCTTTGATTTCCTATCAGTCTGAGCTTGACTGGCAAAACATTTTAAACTTACGTTCCACATGACTGATTCACTGTTTCAGAAGGTTGTATTGCGTAATGTGAGCTGTAATCTAGAAGGGAATGAATAGGTGGAGATGAAGAAAAAACGGAGGTTACCATCATGTAATAAGTGTGGAATATGACTAATCAGTCTAAATGTACAAAATGGATAAGAGGGTGGAGTGCTCACCTAAAATCTGCATCAGACAGGCAATGTTATCATTAGAGAATAAAAATGATAGTAATAATTGTAAAATAATTGCAGTAAGCTAAAACACTAAACAACAAAACGAAAACCATGGGAATAATGACACTCACGAAAACTATTGTCTCCATTAATGTTATGGGATGAATTTTTATTATTCAGTCTTTATTCATGTCTTGTAGAGGATTAACGGCATCACTTGACGTCCTATCGAAGATTCAAGCGCCTAATGCATGTTTGTCCTAGCATACTATCCTATTAGCGGAAATTCAGTAGTATGCGGATACTAATAAAAATAAGTAAACGTGTGCTTTCTATTTTTCGAATCTGACCATCTAATCATCCTGATCTGTAGTAGAGTTGAGAACTTCGATGGTGTGTCCCATGTAATGCCTCTGCATTGTACATAAATGTGCATCAGTAAAGTGTCTCGAGGCTCTCTTGAAACGAAACCTTGTTATACACTCTTTATGGTTGGAGGAAGGATGCGTAAATTCTTTCCATGCATCTGATACTCATGTCTTACATTATTAAGAGCTTTGTGAAAACAGAACTACACTGAGAGTAGGGAAGGAAATTAGAAAACGTGGAGGAACTACTTTTCAATGGAGAACTGGTGATGTGGATTGTGTATGCATTCTGAAAAGAATCATATGAACTTTTACCAAGGTGTGACGGAATAGTTTGACAAATATCAGGTGCCCGGTAAAAGATATATATGCATATACATTTCTGTATTTGCAAAACCTGAATGTTATAAAGAGTGATTCCGATAGGCAGAGTAAGAAATAAGTCGAAAATCCTCACGAAGAACTGGTTTGATACTATGAGGTTTCCTAAACAGAGAGCAACTTCGCAAGAAATAAAGAATAACAAGCGTTAACAATGTATTAGTGGAGGGAAACAATTGGAAGTGTGTTTACGAGTCTAAATGTGCCAATCTGATGCTACGTACAGGAGGAAACATCCAGACGAGTGGATAAGAGAGTAAAACAACATGAATGTTGCTCTAGTATAATTTCCGAGACCCCAGATACTTAGTAACTCTAATGCAGGGCTCTGCAGGAAAGACTTTGCGCCACATGCAAGATTGAATACCAAGGATGAACATATATGGGTTTATCCAAATTCTGGTTGTAAGCTTTGTTACTGTCACCTTCGATAATTTAGATTTGATTATTTTCCTCCGGAAGATAACTTAAAACTTTGGAAATAATAATTAAACCATACTGAAACTCTGCAAACATGTCTTGAGTATTATGACAAAAGAGTCAACATCGAATAAGATACGAAAGTGATGAAGTCTTGAGCGCACAAAGCTTAAATCGTAGCACGAATATATATATCTTCGTAAAACATAGCTTGTCAGGCCTTCCTAACCTATGAGCTTTTTAAAACAGCTTTCCAACATCATATTCTTGGCTATTAACGAGTATGTAATGGAGAATTAAGCTACTGAAAACGTCCTACAAGTTTTCTACAAACTTTTCCTTCTGTTCTTCAGTCGATTTGATCTGCATGGTTAAGTGAGCTGCTAGATTCATTTGATGCTAGAAGACGGGCATAACTCGTTCCAGTCATTCCTTTTATCGGCGTCAAAACAATGAGCTGGGTGACCGAGTACAACCAGCCTCAGTTATGCAAGACATATCATATGGATCTCTTTAGTCGGTCACTTGTGTGGCAGACAATAATCGGTGAATAATTTGACAGTTCTCGAAAAAATTACTCGTCATCGTTTGGTGTTGCATTCTAGCTTTCTAAAAGCGTTTTGAGGTTAGGCACTGTTCCAATAGCATATTACTTAAATTATTTCAAAAGATCAGTCATAACCACAACGTTAGCTGTGTTCAAAATCATTTCCTGTTGTTCTTTTCATTTTAAAAGGATGGTACCACCCCATTGCATTTAGCTGCGCGATATGGGTATCAGAAGTCTTGTCAGATCCTTGTGTGTTGTGGAAGCGATATCAATGTTCAGGATCGAGTAAGTTGAAGCCAAGCAATTAAATGATTTTTAAAATATATTTGAATACTCAGGTAAACATTAAATGAAGATAACCCGCTGTCCAAAGTCAAATGGCTTAATGACTTTTCAAGTTGCACAGTAATTTATATTTGTTAGTTGTTTATTTTGCGTAGTAGTTGTGGTGATGGTGGTGGTGGGGTGAAGGCGAGTGGTTGTACAGTTTAACTACTTTGAAGGCAGTTCATACAAACTGACAACACCTGTAGATGCAATAAGAAACAACAAGCACTTATAGGCTATCTCAGTTGATGCACTAGATTTTAAACAATAGGAATTCTGAATTCTCTGCCCGAAATGCGAGCAGTTGAGTGTGTGAGTGATTGGGTAAGCGAGTAGTAAGTTCTCACTGCGTTCGACCACCGGTGGGTGCTGAAGAGTCCCAAGCCGGGACGAAACAGATGTCTAGTACTCTCAGTTGGTCTTCCAATAGTTCTCTAATCGATGTCAGCTCATGATCAAATCATGAAACCAATCAAATCCCCACAACCCAACACTTGAATGGAAATCATATTTGTAGGACAAACTAAGTCGATAGCGAAACAGAAAAGAGGGTCTGAACCAAGCTTTCCAAAAGTGAAATAATATTGATGGAACCAAGTTATTACTGGATATAAGTTGTGTGGTAGTCACTGAATACATATCAAATCATCATAACATGCTACAGAACGACTTTTTGAAATTCTAATACACCACTTCCTTCTGGGGTCCGTGCTAAAAATATTGGCTAGAGTAACAGCGAAAGTATCATGATTATACTATTCTGTTCAGGTAACGCATCACCACTGAAGTGAGTTGAACCTTGTTGCCACGATCCCGGAGGGGATTGGTTCGCACTGAATGAGAACTTTTGATATTGCCACTAACGCAATGATAGCCATCTCCTCAGTGAGCCTTTGATTGTCATCTGGGTGAGCGGAGGAGAATATTGACCTTCCAGTCAACAATTTTTAGAGTCTACTTCCAGTCTACCTGGCCTTACACTAACACTCACACACCATGTCTTATGATTTCCACATGCGACCTCGGCATTATTGTTATTAGCCTGAAGCATGGTGAGGATATTCCACGTCGACATGCTTACTTTCGCTTTCATCGAAAGAAGACTTGCCGGCGGACTGACTTCCCGAAGGCTTCCACAAACTTGCGTCATCCGTCGACGAATTGAGGAGTGGTTTCGATTCCAGTGGAGTATAAGTCTACATTTCGTGTGCTTTACAGTTTCAGTGGTGATGAGGGTGTGTTATTATGCTGTGAGGTTGCTAGCCCCATACTCAGCCTACCTCTTTTCTGGACCTAGGACCGACTAGTAAACAAGGTGAAGTTATGAAACAGCAGTCCAATCAGATTTTCTCATTTATGAATATAAAAAATATTTTAATTTTGTATAAACTCAACTCTGTCGTGAGAATTCCATCTGTTCTTCCTATCGTCGTGAAGAATGCCTAAGCAATCAGTCCTGTTGTCATTAATTTGTTTTTGTGAGTTTCCCAAATGGTCATAGACGAGTATCGACATTAGAGAATTATATTGCACCAAGTTTTGAGTCGCTTTGTAGACTTTATCGATTGACTTCAGTCGACACGAGGAGTCTGTGTTCTGAGACACTCATCAAGTGATAGTGAATTTCCCTATGGTCTCGCTCGATATCATGAATTTATGTTTACTTTACTCTACTAATTACAGATTTAGTCCTCAATAGCTGTTTTAAGTTCACTATGGGTTTAATTGAAAGATATTATACTAGTATATTTTGCATTTGATCATCCTCTTTTTCGACGATTCGATCTACACTCTAGCATGGTGTGGAATGATAAAACTCTTGACTATTATTTTTGTGCTACAATTATTGTAAGGTGACATACTTCACTCAACAACTGAAATAGAAAATGGATAATTCATATGCATATGCATATATATGTGAAAAAGCTGTAATACACCTTGTAGCCTAACCTGATGAATTCATTGGAAGATTTTATATTCTGTTTACTAAGCAAATGGGTAAGCCCTTGTATCGATTATAATCCTACGTGTTTACATCGCACATGCGTTTGAATGTGCTAGAGTATGCAATTAAAAATTATTCACTGTGTCCCAAGACTTACGAAATCGTTTATTAATAACTCTGCTAATCTCTCTTAGTCTAAGTGTGTATTCCGACTGACTAATGAAGTGTCAGGATTTAGACAATACCTTAATTACAAAAAAATGACCGAAAGCTTCGTAATTGTCTGTAGGTTGTCAGTTTGTGTAGATTGAGGTGTACACAGCATTGGATTTGTAAGTCCATTATTTCTTGTACCTGTCCAGTAAGTAAGATGAATGGTGTGAATTAGTTAAAAGAGAATAGTTCTAGAATGAAATGGTCTTTAATACTTTTCGTTCATTCTATCTTTGAAAGCACAGCAAGAAAATAAACTTCTCGCCAAATGAATGAATATGCACAATCAGCAATACATCAGATTTTAGATTTGCGCGTTGGTGTCTTCACAAACTGGTATCAGCTGGAAGAACTGTCGAAAATCAAGAAGTACTGTAAAGTTGATTTCAGAAGTGGCTAGGGTGCGTCTTCAGCATGTCAGTTTACCGACATCTCTGGTCAACAGTGTTTACTTTAGTAGAATTAGTTTGGAAAATAAGTAGGATCTTTTAAGTCAAAATATAGTGAGAATTCATTAGGTCTATGATTGTTGAGTTGAGCCACACAGATTGTGTGACTGAGGTCCTCAGGGAACTTAGAGACTGGAATCCTTTCACGATTGTGCAGATGTATTCACTCTTTGTCATTTTCATCAAAGATTTTTGTATTTCCCATAGAATGGAAAAAACGCTACTTAATGCTAATAGCTTTATCAAAGTATTTATCAAACTAGAATTTACAAAACCTCAACGTATATATAATAACCAAGTCATCGTCCATCAGCATGGGGTCATTTTTGCGTTGTCAAGTTGGCCAATTGGTAAAGATAACAAAACCAGGTGTACATTGTTGGATTTGATAAGTGTATGAAATTATAAAAGCAGCGTGTGTTCACATAATGAAATTTCTTATCACATTCGTGTTGATTTTGTCACTTCATGTGGGAGGAAGGTGTTGTGACTAGGTCAAATTCTGTTTTATACCATCATTCCTATTCAGACAATTTGGATTCCACTCGATATGAAGTGCTTCTGATATTAGACGTTCTTTATGACTTTTGAAATTTTTCCGGATGATGATTTCAATATTGTCAAAATCAATTTTGTGACCTGATTCTATGACGTATAGACCACCTATGGCTGATGATTTTTCAGGCTTTTCTAGTTCAACTGGATTTCTCAGTGGTTGATTAGATGCTCCACGGTGTTCATTTCTTCTGATTTTGATTTCCCTCTGGCGATTTTTGTCCGACGTATATTGCATCACATTCCAAGCATATTATTATTTCCTAGACACAAGGTTGCTTTGTAGTGTGTGAGTCTGATGCTTTGAAGAAAACTCTGACGTCGTGCTTATTGATTACTCCTCTGATATCGTCTGACGTCTCTGATCTATATGGAATAACGACTGTTGAGGCCCATGTCTTCGGAACACGTCTTCGACCGTACTTAGTGTAAGTGTTGACTTTGTTGATGAAGGTCTTTGAGTAGTTATTTTGCTTGAGAGTCTCAGTAATGTTTGATATTTTTTTCCCTTTCCTTCCCATCCGTTATTGAAGGCTGCGCTCGTCTAAGAAGACTTGAAGCGACTGATGACTTTGCGCTGATGGGGTGTGATGATCCGAAGTCTAAATATTCGTTGGAGTGGGTTTTCTGCCTGGATATAGATATATTAAAATATCCGTTTTCCCTCCTCTTAACTAGGCAGTCTAGAAATGGTAGTTCACCGACGTCTGATTCTGCTTCCGAAGTAGACTGAATTCTGGGAGATGGATTGTCCAGTTTCTCCAAGAATAAAATGTGCAGATCTCGTTTTAGCACTACGAAAGTATCATCAACGTATCTTAACTACATTTTGGGCTTGCGTATGCTTGAAAAGATGTTATCTTCGAATCTATTCATAAAGAGATCAGCAACTATTATCATCTTTGTTTATTATCTTTAAAATTGTGAGCACTTTCTTTTCCTTCTGTCCTGATTGATTAACGGGGAGGTATAGGGAGAACAGTGGTTCACCCTGCTAATTAGGAGTACTGCACTTCGTAGACACTTAATTAAGTCTGCGAACTTTCGAAAGGTATGTTGAAAACCATTTTGAGTTAAGAAATGTCGAGGAAATGCAAGAGCGAATAAATTCAGTTTCAACTGCTGAGTTTATGAACTACTGAAAAGTCATGAATTAAAGCAGGACTACATGGCCATACACTGTTTAGTATTCAGTTGACGATCAACTACAGATTTCACTATATAAGCCTCAATGCATGTTGTTGACGCTGCTCACCGTATAGTGGAGGACTTGCGAGCAGGATCCAGTCCTATCTAGCATGAGAATAACTGCAAACTGAGTAACTTGCTGATGAATGATGTCGATCAGAGTCCTTATGAAGGCACACGTTTCCTTACTGATATCTCTTGTGAATGGATATTAAAAGGGTACAATTAAAAAAACTTCTGCTAACAACTTTATATACCCAACTATTGGCTAACTTCCAAGTTGTTTTTATCTCTTTCACCACTCATGGTCCCTAAAATGTAACACTTTTCTCTGCTTAAATCCATAGGTAGGTCAAACACCATTGCACGTTGCAGCACTTCACAATCAGAGGCGTATTGTGACGATGCTGTTAAATTTCCACGCTAGGATTGATATAGTTGACGCTAAATTAGATAATCCGATGCATATTGCAGTATCAATGGGACATGCTGACATCGTGAAGCAATTATTACGAGCCAACAAAGATAGAATGGAACTGGACTGTTTTTCTCGTGATACTAGTAGACCGAATGAGAATGTAGATATACGTGAGATGATTAATGCTCAAGATAAACTACCAGACGATATCGCCTTGCGCCTACGCTGCCCTGAAATCTTAAGGATAATGGCGTCAGATATCACGGAAAAGCATGAAGTATCACGATATTCATATCATCGTCTGCATCCTGCTCGATTGGCATTGGAAGATATTGAAAATCTTCGAGGAAATTCAATGAATGGAGCAAACAATGACATGATCACAAGTCTCTCAAACTATAACGGTGGCGATGATACAACATCGTCTGAGGAGGACCTACCAAAAATGATGCGCAAACGGGGATACTCAGATAATAAGAATTTGGTGAGTCTTTCTTCCGCTTCAATTATACAACCGCTATTTTGATTCATTTCAATGTATTTCGTCTTTCTAACAGTGAACCTCAATATGTCAGTAGCATAGAAAAGAATGATGCATGAATTAGGCATACAAACTAAGATTTTCCGTCACCTGTTACATGCCTGCATGAGTTCAGTTACAGTGTCTTGATTAGTAAGTATAGTGTAAATTCTTGCCGCCCCTTTCACGACTAGACTTTGGCACAATTCCCACAAAGTCGATGCAGTTAAATTCCCCCTTCACTTCAAGAAGTATTGCAGGTGTTGCACGCCTGTAAGTATTCCTATCTGTCGATGCGTAATGACATGATAAATAGACACTCTTCCTTGACTTGGGTTTTGGCTTAATAGTTCTAAGGTCAATCGCCTCTGCTATATGCAGTAGACGAACACAGAGTCTCCATAATGGATAAGATTTTATTTTGATAAATCACACAGCGCTTCGGATGGTTTTTGTCTGTCCTTTACCAAACCATGATGGGAGATGTTCAGTAACACGTAGGCTAACCAGTCTAGTAGTAGCTTACATCTTAGTGGCTCTCACTGCTTTTCATATTCAGAGGCCACCAGAATGAGTCTTGATGGGCCTTTCAGTTTGGATGAAGTAGCAAAATTTCACAGACGCTTACTAACCTCTGGTTTCTGGTTTCCAACTGCGTTGAACACTATTACCACGGGGGACTCTATATCGTGACAGGCTTCGTCAGGCCTAGTTATGCTGTTAGTCTCAGATACGCGTCTGTCACCTTCCTCTCTAAATGGTGACTTAGTGTTCTCATGAAGTTGGGGAGGTGTCATTTTCATAGAAGCCCCTTTCCCATGTTCATTCAGTCGTAGGCATATACATACCGTATTATCTGATGCACTTGGCTGTGATCTGTTATAGCTGGATGTCTTCTTATCATTGTATTCACTTGCGTAAGCGTCAGATTTCTTGTTGACGCAACATTTGACCTGCCGATAGTGCCACTTATTCTTATCTGTTTGATAAATTTGATGAATACCCGCATAGGTTTTAATTGCAAATTAGTCTTCTAGGGATTCTCTGGCATTTTTCGTTTTTCTTCTGTGCGAGAGCTATTCTCAGTCAGACGGTACTTGGTGAGATTTTACACCTTCCAGTAATGCATCAGTCTTGGTGTAGAATACACGTGTATATGAGGCTGCTACTTTCTAAATGCTCCGAGTCCGCCTTGCTAACGAATGCTCGTCTCTAACTAAGCCCGACATATTTCCGCCATCGGAAAATGTCTCTTCTATGCTGCGTGACCTCAGATGATTCAGTTTTCTCAGTGATATTCTACTTTGTTTGTTACAAGATAACATCATTTCTAGGCGAATACTACCCATACTTCCCTGTAGTCGTTTCAAACAGATTTTATAATACACATTAATATATGTGCTCCGATGGTAGACATTCAATTTGTGTTTCTCTGTTGACTGGAGCTTTTTGTGATGTATCGACACCATGCACTAATTACTGATGGATAATCTTAGACTTTAATTGAGGAAAGCTGATTCCAGTATTACTACTACTGCTTCTACCATTACCATTAACAATCATAATTGTATTATTGCTGTTACTGATACTTCAAATTTGGAAAAGTATTTCGTCTAACACAAGTCAGCCGGCGGTCAACTATACGGCTTACTTGTGCTCTTAATTACCGTTGATATTATTACTACTATTATAATTATTATTATTATTAACTCCTTAGGTTCCTAGTGAATCATAAGGAGTCAGTAATACATCTCCATTCTATTGATAGTATTTCATGACTACAAATTACCCAGAGTTGAAGAACAAAGAAGACTGAGATATTTCGGCCATCGTTTACCTTGGAAGTCTTGGTCGTAAACGAAGGAAAGTGACTGAGAAATGGTGCATTTAGAAGTGTACAGCACTGACCAATATATACATGTTATGAAATGAGGTGGTCAACATTAAATGTTGAAGATGCACATGAATTAATCCCCGGTTGATAAGCAATCCGCTTTTCTAGTGTGTCCACTCAAATTTATCGATCAAAAATGCAATGTGGTCACTAAGTAATGTGGCATAACACTAATGTACATTGAAATATTTTGGCATTAGTCCTTAGGAGTTGATGCGTGAGAAGTCCAACACATAGATCTTGTTTTTATTGGTACTCTTCAGGAAGACGTGCTAAGGGATCTTGTGGCGTATGAGATTCGAGAAAGTGTAAGTCAGTGCCGAAAATGATTCGTTCGTCTTGTTTAGACCGCCAAACAGTTTGGACAACTGAAATACAGACTAAGAAATCATACATGTATGCAGAGTGATCAACAAAAGTAGAGAGGGAAGTGAGAAGTGTTTACCCATTTCACCAATATAGTCTCTATAATATTCTATTAAATAGCGAGCAGCCTCACTATATTGTTTTCTCTTGTGACTACCTGGAAAGCTCTTCCGTTCTGTATGCACCTCAGAATTGGGCAGATATCCGACACAAGTGTTCTAGCTTTTCGCTAGAAGTGCAGCAGGTATCTTTTCTGCTTATACTTGTGCGACTAATTTCACCCGTACACCAATGTTTCTGCAGATTTGCCGGTATAAGATAGTCAAATATCTCTTATTTCCTGTCTATCTATTAGTGCCACATCACATATGTAGAAAAGAAAATTTCATTCTGTTCTGCACTATAAAGACTGGTACATCGTAAGCACCTCATTTATTCTCTAGTCTCATTCAAATTTCCACCTAACTGCATGACCTTATATACAGTCTACATATAGCATGTAAATATTGCACTGTCAGTCTATGCATGGTAGAAGTTTATTAACTGTTTAATCGGGCAGTGGAAATTTAGAGAAATCATTGTGTTAAGTGAGTAGGTTTGCTAGTATTTGATTGGTTTCATGCTAAATTTAGTTGTGAACCGATATCATCTAGAGAGATCATTAAAATGGATAGTTGTACAGTGTTTAAGGGGGTCTATTTATCTGTGGTGCAGAGGCGAAACCCTGCTACTGACCGAGCACAGGACCTCCAGGTCGAGAGGTGAGTATATTGCTATTCAGCTATTAGGCTTAAATTGATTGGACAATGATTTTCAACCTTTTCGCGATGCATAATCTACTTTCGTTTCCGACAAACGCCTTTTGAACCTAGACAATCTTAAACATTTTGTTCAAACAGTTTCTCAGTAGATTTACTCTGAAGTCGTGCTGATACTCACTGCTCATACTTCTTATTCCGCTTTCCTTACAGAAATACAAATATATTCATAGTAACTTAAACGAGACAACACCTCCCTCAAACACTGCCGATTCATCACCGGATGAAGATTTCGAAAAGGATAAGGTATTGTTTAATTTATAAAGATGAATAGGCGTGAATTACATGCTTTGTTACAATTATCACAATAATAATTAATTAATGAAAATGAAGTATGAACACTATATGAATTTACGCTTCACTTAATTTAAGGCTTCTAGTTGATATGCAGTGGAAATGAAATAAGGCTGATGCAGACGAGAATATATATATATATATATATTCAGGGGTTGTGTGCATGTAATATTGTCTGCTTTTATCTCTTAAAGAAAACGTGTCCTTATCAATATGAACCGTAGACACGTCACACGGGTTTAGCTGATGTTTTCCTGAACAATAATTTCATATCCATTGTATTTAGACATTGACACACTTGAATTTACCTAAATGAAGTGTTTGGTGTTGTTTCGTCGGATTGAAATGTTTGTATTTTTGTGGAAGTGGATAAACAGGGGAGCAGAGGATACTTGTTCAATCTATAGATTTGCCAGTTACTACTAGTCAAAGTAAGTAATAATAATAAACTGACTGAAATGTAGTGAAGTGATAAAATATTCCCAAATCTCCTGTTGTCAGTATATGTAATTGCATTGGAATTGATGAGTTCATATCAGTATACCGGCTTTGTTTACACGAGTCGCATTCTGGTTAATGGTTATCAGGAAAACCTTACAAAGTGAATTGACAACCCGGTGTATGCAATGCACGAAACTCGTTGTGTGACAGATTGTGAATTCAACCAATTATTTGGGGAAAATAGATAAGATGGAATTTAAATCCCGAACCAATTTGTTGACAGTCAAACCAATCAGCTACCCTGAGACTGAAATCTGTGATACAGATTTTATGGTGTAACTTAATCGGATGTACTGAGACATTCATGTGTATATTAGTGTTTCCACAGCAAATCTGTTGACACGAAATGCATATTTTCCGGGGTTTTCTTTTAAAAAGCTACGTTAGGGAACTTTTACATTTAAAAGTCTGGCGATATGTTAAGCTTAAAGTTACATGAAACACTTCATTGGAGAACCATTGAAGAACCAATTGTCGCAAAGTGGTCAACAATACTATTCTACCTATCTAGTTAGTGTGCACTCGGTTTTCTTTCTATGTTTAATTTTAACACTTTCTCCAGTTAAACGAATCACCTAGGGAGAGTATCCATGACGAAGCAATAATATCAACTGGGGCACGTTTCAAGCCGTCTTGCAATGTGAGCTCGCGCAATGTCGATAACAGCACACCACCACATATATAAAAATGGGACTTCCTACTTCATAGGAAGTCCTTCTGTCCATTTCTCAGCCTCTCCCTCGTATCTTTGTTCTGTACCCATTAAACGACAATAGAATACCTAGTTGTTCAAATCCCGGCTGCAAAATCCACATTGGAGCTCCATTGGGTCAAGCGTTAGGTACTTTTATTCTGCGCCTTAAATGCATTTGAATCTTTACGAAATGCATACAAGACTCAAGCGGGATTTTTGATTCCACGTGAACTGTACAACAGTCCCGGTCTACAAAATTCATGCAGCAGCTATCGATAATTTCTTTTTGTAGTCTTCTAGAAGTTGTCGGCGAAAAGTCTTGAGATCTATTTGTATTCCCACAGATAATCATCTACAGCTAAGTGGTTTCGAGAAAATGGGCGAAGGCTGTGATGATCTTTGATGCCTTTTTGTAATCCTCGCTCACGAAACGAGGAGTCTGAGTGTTCCTATCCCGGACTACAAAACGTGAGACGCTCACAAGTAATCTTAGCAAGTGGCTTTTGTGTTCAGTAAGGAGACTGAGCTTGTCGGGGGAACATATTGAAGTTATCCACGGTCTCAAGTGTCAATGAAATAACCCTAACCACGGTTATTATGTCTAAGAATTTAGTCTAGATAATTACTAATTTCCGACCAGCATTAACCTCAAGCGAAATGGAAGATATTGTTTTACATGATAACTACTTATATGAAGCTGACATTGAACTGAAACAGACCGCTAGGCTACAACATGTGGGTGCAGACAACCGGTTAATGACCTCTGATCCTTTCGTAACATCCATGTGTTATTTTATGCACATCTGTGTGTGCATCTGAATGAAGGTGAAACCGAATTAACACACCAAAGGTCCAACATTTTCAGATATCTCATGAAATTATCATGTTTGTGTTTTGGAACCAGGGGACCTAACGTTGCAGAAATAGTGGTGAAGACAGTTAGTGATAAGCAGAATCCAAGGGTTCCCCGAGCCCAGTAGAGGTGTGCAGTGTCATCTAGACTGATGTATACAGGCAGAAAACTTTCGGTGGGCCCTAAAAATGTTGAGAAGTGGAAAATGACTGAATGAAATTACTGCGAACGATGTTGTGTGACTAGACGAGATATATAAGACTTATAAGAGACATATAAGGCTGAATAACAGAAACTTCTAATGAGAACAAAACTGTATTAATTTTTCTGAAGACAGTGCTGAAGCGTTTCGGAGTGCATTACGAGAAGTAGCTACAGTGGTCTACAGCTGCTGATCAGCAGTCAAGATCGTGAGGCTGTTTCAAACGACAAATGAAGCAACGACGATAGACCTGAGAATTGCATGCATGTTTCGAAACTGTAGTGACGAAATACAGGCGAGATTAAATAAGACAATGTTTAATGCATTGAAATGCAGCATAATTCCCTCGGACTGTTGTAGACGGTGGAACGTTTGGGTTCATAAGAAAAAGAACAAACCACCCACCCACCCAGCATAAGTCTGAGTGTCTGCATTAAATTTTATATCCCAGCAAATTTCACTTCTCTGCACTTCTTTGGCTTCTTGTAACTCATGATTTGGTCTGGTGTTCTCAGCTTTCTCATGAGTCCACCTTACTTTAAAATCACTCGCTGAGGTATACTGTATCAGAATATGTAACAAATAATCCAATCATCAGTCAGTCCAGGTTCTCAAACTCACCGACTAACTTACCTTCCTCACCACCTAGTTTTCAGTTTAGCCTCAATATTGTCCCTGCTGTGAATCTGTCCAGCTGTGTAAATGCTTTCCAAGCGATGATCAACCTCCTGTCATATTGCTAGATGCAAACTTATAAATTATAACCATACAGGATAGAGCATTAAGCTATTTGTATTCGTTATCTACGATCATTCGTTTTTCATCACATTGATTTCTAATATTCTAATCTCTGACAAAGTGATATTAATTGTGTTTGATGCTGAACGCTAATGAAATCGATTCTTGCCATCTCTGTTTTAGAAATCGTCAGCCAAATGAAGATGGTTTACTCTCACAATGGCATGGCTGAGATCGACTTCAAGCAACAGATTAGGCTGCGATTGATAGATCCTGCTCTTTATATCGTGTCTGACAGTTCTTATTTTTTATGCTTTGTTCATTAGACTCACGTTTTTTTCATAAATAAACTCTTCAACACACTAGTATAGGCTTTTCACACCTTTTAGATCGGTTGATAAACTCATAATATACAAGGAGGTGAACTTTCTGGAAAATACAGTTGTCAGACATAAAACGAAAATTACAAATCAGTGTCAAAAAGAAGTTCACAGATAACAGTGTCGTAACAGAGCCAGGAAGCGAGAAAATGTACGCATTACTGGAATTTATAGACGTCAAGCTGAGAAATCGAAAACACGATATCGATTGACACCTAACAGCTTATCCAAATCATCCCTCACATCACGAAAATGGAAGTCAAAGCTGTACACACATGCTCTAACTTATTTCCCACGACTTGAAAAGTATACGATAATTTTTCAATATTAGAAATGTGCAATGCCGCTAGACACATACATGTCGCGTTCACCAACAGAATAACATACATATCTATGCTAATGACACTTCCCGACATTAAAGTGCTGGTCAGGCTTGCATGTTACAGTGAACCAACGACTTGATATGCCGGGAACTAATGCTTCTACTGAATTATTATGCTAGCGAATTTCAATAACCATGTTTCACAGGTGTAGAGACGTTTAGAGGAAAATGTCGCACAGCACACCTCCTTCAATGCATAGTTAGATGTCACACCAACAACAGAGATAACGCAAGTTGGGGAATGTAATACTAGCCTCGACTTAGAATACAGTGCATCAGTCGGCGCGTTATACTATCTCAGTGATCTCTTTGCCATTCAAAATATTTCAGACATAAAGCCTAACTAGTTAACAGTCAAAGTAATGTAACAAGGAACAGTTTCATCGACATAGAGTATGTGGATGACAATTTCCTTCTAGGTGAAGACTCTGACAAAATACAATCCTCCCAACAACTTGAGCAGAAATCTTCGAGTCTTTGGAATGGTATTCGCCCCTGGTAGATGTAAGATGGAGCCGTTGTACTGATCTACGCCGACTCATGGCTTGAAGATAGGAAGTTAAGTGGTAGAACGTGTTGACCGCTTCTCCTATTTGAGAAGTTGAATCAGCCCCAACGAGCTGATCGGTGACAACACCTCAGCATAGATGCAGAATGCTCGTGTGGTGTTTCCCCACTCAACTCATCTCTAGCGTAGGTGTGATATCCGCCTACCGATCAAGGGATGTATGCACTGTGCAGAAATCCGCTCTGTCCTCCCTTATGGCTGAGACACATGCCCGATGAGAGTGCAAAACCTGAAGACAATAGTTGTCGTTGATCACATATGTTTGCGTCCTATCTCTCGTGTGAAGTAGTCTCATATGGTAGGTAATATTGGGCTTGGGCGTAGTGTTAGATAAAAAGGACAAGTCAATCAATGAGGTGGTGAAGTTGAATTGAGATGTATAGGACACGTATTGAGCATCCCGAGCCATCGCCTTGCTTGACAGGCAATGTTAGCCCATATAGCATTAAGTTAGAAAAGCTCCGGGATTGGTCAAACCGAATTCTGATACAAGTCAATGAGGTCTTCGATAGTTGGTTTGAGTCGCGTAGTGAGCCATAGGCTGTTTGTCGGGTTGGCATCCTGAAGATGTTAAGAATGAATGGCTTGAGAATATTTGTGACATAGCTCGTAATCGTTGTCAGTGGCGCGGATGCATTCATTTTTTATCTATTCCTTTGAATAACTGCTTTTCTCTCGTTTGTCTACCTCTGTGTATCGCAACTTGAAACGCTTTACTTCCTTGAAAAGCTCTGTTATTATTCAGACAGACAGTCAAATATGGTGAGTGACACTATTCGCGGACTAAATTCCACCTGACTTTTCATGGTTCGTTTCTAACCAGTGCCGTTCAGTCTACACTATACACTGAACCTGGAAGTTCAGACCGTATGATAGTCAAGTCAACCTTATATGATTATCACAGGAAGGCTTGTCTCTTCTTATAACCGGGATAATCAGTGATTTTCACCTGTACCAAACATTACCGATTATCTTAGTTAACCCAGATAAAATTTCGTCACCACCATTGTTAAAAATCTCTGAAAAGTCGTTGCATCAGGTTCAGCTGCCTTGCATATTTTCAGATTAGAAACAGCTTTTCCAAGCTCACTTTTATTTGGAGGCCCGACGTCTAAATACCTCTCAGTTAGGTTTCGGATGTTTATCGAACTGAGTTTGACGGTAGGCCAGTCTTCTATCTTGAGAGACAGTTAAGACGACGTTCTCCTCACAGTTAGTCTCACCCATCATTTGTCTCTCACAACCAGTTTCTTTGATGAGCCCAAAAAACTGTCTGCAAGCTCGGCCATCATGTCAAGGTAGCAGGCATCGGTCGGGAATTCCTCATTTCATCACGCTCCAACAGACTCTGGAATATGCAGATGCTTACTAGCGTCTAACTATTGCCGTACTTTCCTACCTAGAGGTGGCATTCCTTCTTGTGCAATGTAAGATGGCATAGGATTAGGTTGGGAAAGATTTAGAAGTGGTCAAATCAAAACATGGCATCAATCCATGAAGTATTTGACTGTTTGCTGGCGGTACGCGGGAAGGTTCATACTACCTTGTGGGGCTCTCGAGATTTCAAGGATCAATAGCTGGAGACCATCAGTGACGTGGCTCAAAACCGTTCTCAACAGTGGTGATGCAGTCACTTTTTATGACGTCCCAGTTCCTCGTGTTTCTCTACTTAATTATTCCTTAAACCGTAGATTTCTGTTCATTATGGTCCTATTCTGCTGGAGACAGAACTTAACCGAAAACACCACCATGCTGTATAGCATTGTGCCAAAAATATCACTTAAATAACTGAAACACCAGCAAACCACGACAGCAGGTATTAATCTCCATCCACTGAAAATATATTTACATATTCAACCAAAACAAGATAAAATTTCAAGGTCAAAGGAAGCAAACCAAGGAACGAGAAGTTTGCAATTGATTATTGGAATCGAATATCATGTCTGAGAATGCTTCCATTCATTTAAAGAAGGGAAACAAAATAAACACTTTTAGTAATAAGGCATAGAAAAACTCCAGCGTATTTGAATGGTCAATATATCATTGAAAAAAGCATTCAATACTTGAGTGACTAATTGATGTACATATTAAATTATCCTCTTGGTAGAATGTACTCTGCAGAAGTCAAATGATTTGTACTTTATCTGGAGAACTGTCGTGCATCTTCAACTGTCTTCATCCATTTGTGTCTGTAGAAAAAGAAGCAAAACATAACGTTCAGCGACTACATATAAGTAGGGAATAACATATCCCACTTATTTGTGCTAGTCAGTGGCGCAGTGAGCTTCTAGCCTGGTAAAAGCAGAGATAGTATTATCTATTATGGTTAATCCAGTGATTAACGCACTTGACGTTCCTGTTTCCTTCAGTTGAAACATCATGCTATTACAACAATAAGCTACAAGATCAACAGTTACATTAATCCCTTCGAAAAAAATTAATAAATAACATAGGACAACTCATCCACGTTGTATATCTTGCAAATACAATTAATGTATTGGGCCTAGAGATCCAGAGTATTTCTTAATGGAATTTGAAGACATGAGTAGATGGTAGCTTGTCCAACAGTACAATCACCACTGTGTACTTCCTTAACTTTTTGGCTAAATCAATTCTAAATTATTAGAAATAATTAAATGGCACACAAAATGTTTTTGTAAGACATGAGAATACAATCCGGTAACCCAAACAAAAGTAAGCAGTGTCGAAACAGGTGGTTTCGAAGTCACTAAGAAACTAGTGATTATTGTGATTCATCTCAACTTAGTTTAGAAGATTAAAAATCTTGCACTGAGTAGCTGGGTCGCAAGACAACTTTTGACAATGTTTCTAAAACAATCTAATCATTAGGAATTAGAAGTCCGAGTGTTTATCACATTTCATTATTGATTCTCTGCTTCGGCATATGCAAGTACAGGATGGTAGGATAATCCGATGAAAAATTACGTGAGTATAATTGTGGTGAGAGCTGGCTGCTAGCCAGATTGGTATACAGTAATTGACGTCAATGTTTATGTCCCAAATATTAGTCATGGGAAAACAAGAACAAAGACTGATAGCAGACTGTGCGTAGGCGGATACAATTAACAGATAGATGATCTGACATTGAAGAGATAGATGAAAGATGAAGTTTTAGTGAGAAACAACCAATCAGAAGACTGTGTTTGTCTGCTAATAATAATGTACACGAAAATCTATAAATATGTGTTGATTTCCACAATAAACGATCTGTTGCCTGACTCTTGCCTTCTGTCGTTACGTAATGACGATAATTAGAATGGAAATTATGAACAGCATCAACAAGTATATCTGTAGGGTCGATAGTTGCTTTGATACTCGCAGATATACTTGGAATTACATTTGAGTTTTGACTACTCCATAACTTTTCAAATCCATCATTATTCAATTGCCAGTCAACGATATCCCAGGGTAGTGGTTCACCATATCCTGCTGACGGTGCATAGCTAGCAAATGCTGTTGGTGTTAAACGTGAATCACCTTTGTTCAAGTCTATTCCAGTTGAATCATCTGCTGCTCTGAAATCAACTGGTGGCTTTGTAGTAAACATAAAATCGTCATTCAGCCAGTTCGAATTGTTCGAAGGAACATCAAATACAAGGCGAGGTGGATGACTACAAAGATAAAAAATACACGTAAGAATATGCGATTGGAGGTAGAAATGTATAAATAACAAAAGGAGACAGGATGTTTGGATAACAAAATCTTGTGGGATCATAATTAATGTGACGAGTAATTGTTTATGCAATCAGGTCCACTTCATCGTCGATTTTCTCCGTAATTATGATGCTACTTTGTTTGAGTTTAATCCGTCCCCCTGTTTATTATTATTATTATAATTATTATTATTGTA